CGGGGACGGGGAGGGCGGGGACGGGGGGACGGGGACGGGGACGGGGACGGGGGACGGGGACGGGGACGGGGACGGGGACGGGGACGGGGACGGGACGGGGCGGGGACGGGGACGGGGACGGGACGGGGACGGGGACGGGACGGGACGGGGACGGGGACGGGGACGGGGACGGGACGGGGACGGGGACGGGGACGGGGACGGGGACGGGGACGGGGACGGGCGGGGACGGGGACGGGGACGGGGACGGGGACGGGGACGGGGACGGGGACGGGGACGGGGACGGGGGACGGGGACGGGGACGGGACGGGGACGGGACGGGGACGGGGACGGGGACGGGGACGGGGACGGGGACGGGGACGGGACGGGGACGGACGGACGGGGACGGGGACGGGGACGGGGACGGGGACGGGGACGGGGACGGGGACGGGACGGGGACGGGACGGGGAGGGACGGGACGGGGACGGGGACGGGGACGGGGACGGGACGGGGACGGGGACGGGGACGGGGACGGGGGACGGGGACGGGGACGGGGACGGGGACGGGGACGGGGACGGGGACGGGGACGGGGACGGGGACGGGGACGGGACGGGGACGGGGACGGGACGGGGACGGGGACGGGACGGGACGGGGACGGGGACGGGACGGGGACGGGGACGGGGACGGGGACGGGGACGGGGACGGGGACGGGGGGACGGGGACGGGGACGGGGACGGGGACGGGGACGGGACGGGGACGGGGACGGGGACGGGACGGGGACGGGACGGGGACGGGGACGGGGACGGGGACGGGGACGGGGACGGGGACGGGGACGGGGACGGGGACGGGGACGGGGACGGGACGGGGACGGACGGGACGGGACGGGGACGGGGACGGGGACGGGGACGGGACGGGGACGGGGACGGGGACGGGGACGGGGACGGGGACGGGGACGGGGACGGGGACGGGGACGGGGACGGGGACGGGGACGGGGACGGGGGGGACGGGGACGGGACGGGGACGGGGACGGGGACGGGGACGGGGACGGGGACGGGACGGGGACGGGGACGGGGACGGGGACGGGGACGGGGACGGGGACGGGACGGGGACGGGGACGGGGACGGGGACGGGGACGGGGACGGGGACGGGCGGGGACGGGGGACGGGGACGGGGACGGGGACGGGGACGGGGACGGGGGGGACGGGGACGGGGACGGGGACGGGGACGGGGACGGGACGGGGACGGGGGACGGGGACGGGGACGGGGACGGGACGGGGACGGGGACGGGGACGGGACGGGGACGGGGACGGGGACGGGGACGGGGGACGGGGACGGGGACGGGGACGGGGACGGGGACGGGGACGGGGACGGGGACGGGGACGGGGACGGGGACGGGGACGGGGACGGACGGGGACGGGGACGGGGACGGGGACGGGACGGGACGGGGACGGGGACGGGGACGGGGACGGGGACGGGACGGGGACGGGGACGGGACGGGGACGGGGGACGGGACGGGGACGGGGACGGGGACGGGGACGGGGACGGGGGACGGGGACGGGGACGGGGACGGGGACGGGGACGGGGACGACGGGGACGGGGACGGGGACGGGACGGGGACGGGGACGGGGACGGGACGGGGACGGGGACGGGGACGGGGACGGGGACGGGACGGGGACGGGACGGGGACGGGGACGGGGACGGGGACGGGGACGGGGACGGGGACGGGGACGGGGACGGGGACGGGGACGGGGACGGGGACGGGGACGGGGACGGGGACGGGGACGGGGACGGGGACGGGGACGGGACGGGGACGGGGACGGGACGGGGACGGGGACGGGGACGGGGACGGGGACGGGGACGGGGACGGGGACGGGGACGGGGACGGGGACGGGGACGGGGACGGGGACGGGGACGGGGACGGGGACGGGGACGGGGACGGGGACGGGGACGGGACGGGACGGGGACGGGGACGGGGACGGGGACGGGACGGGGACGGGGACGGGGACGGGGACGGGGACGGGGACGGGGACGGACGGGGACGGGACGGGGACGGGGACGGGACGGGGACGGGGACGGGACGGGGACGGGGACGGGGACGGGGACGGGGACGGACGGGGACGGGGACGGGGACGGGGACGGGGACGGGGACGGGGACGGGGACGGGGACGGGGACGGGGACGGGACGGGGACGGGGACGGGGACGGGGACGGGGACGGGGACGGGGACGGGGACGGGGACGGGGACGGGACGGGGACGGGGACGGGACGGGGACGGGGACGGGGACGGGGACGGGGACGGGGACGGGACGGGGACGGGGACGGGGACGGGGACGGGGACGGGGACGGGGACGGGGACGGGGACGGGGACGGGGACGGGGACGGGGACGGGGACGGGGACGGGGACGGGGACGGGACGGGGACGGGGACGGGGACGGGGACGGGGACGGGGACGGGGACGGGGACGGGGACGGGGACGGGGACGGGGACGGGACGGGGACGGGGACGGGAGGGACGGGGACGGGGACGGGACGGGGACGGGGACGGGACGGGGACGGGGACGGGGACGGGGACGGGGACGGGGACGGGGACGGGGACGGGGACGGGACGGGGACGGGGACGGGGACGGGGACGGGGACGGGACGGGACGGGGACGGGGACGGGGACGGGACGGGGACGGGGACGGGGACGGGACGGGGACGGGGACGGGGACGGGACGGGGACGGGGACGGGGACGGGGACGGGACGGGGACGGGGACGGGGACGGGCGGGGACGGGACGGGGACGGGGACGGGGACGGGGACGGGGACGGGACGGGGACGGGGACGGGGACGGGGACGGGGACGGGGACGGGGACGGGACGGGGACGGGGACGGGGACGGGGACGGGGACGGGACGGGGACGGGACGGGGACGGGGACGGGGACGGGGACGGGGACGGGGACGGGACGGGGACGGGGACGGGGACGGGACGGGACGGGGACGGGGACGGGACGGGACGGACGGGGACGGGGACGGGGACGGGGACGGGGACGGGGACGGGGACGGGGACGGGGACGGGGACGGGGACGGGGACGGGGACGGGGACGGGGACGGGGACGGGGACGGGGACGGGGACGGGGACGGGGACGGGGACGGGGACGGGGACGGGGACGGGGACGGGACGGGGACGGGACGGGGACGGGGACGGGGACGGGGACGGGGACGGGGACGGGGACGGGGACGGGGACGGGGACGGGGACGGGGACGGGGACGGGGACGGGGACGGGGACGGGGACGGGGACGGGGACGGGGACGGGGACGGGGACGGGGACGGGGACGGGGACGGGGACGGGGACGGGACGGGGACGGGGACGGGGACGGGGACGGGGACGGGGACGGGGACGGGGACGGGGACGGGGACGGGGACGGGACGGGGACGGGGACGGGGACGGGACGGGGACGGGGACGGGGACGGGGACGGGACGGGGACGGGGACGGGGACGGGACGGGGACGGGGACGGGGACGGGGACGGGGACGGGACGGGACGGGGACGGGGACGGGGACGGGGACGGGGACGGGGACGGGGACGGGACGGGGACGGGGACGGGGACGGGGACGGGGACGGGGACGGGACGGGGACGGGGACGGGGACGGGACGGGGACGGGGACGGGGACGGGGACGGGACGGGGACGGGGACGGGGACGGGGACGGGGACGGGACGGGGACGGGGACGGGACGGGGACGGGGACGGGGACGGGGACGGGGACGGGGACGGGGACGGGGACGGGGACGGGGACGGGGACGGGGACGGGGACGGGGACGGGGACGGGACGGGGACGGGACGGGGACGGGACGGGGACGGGGACGGGGACGGGGACGGGGACGGGGACGGGGACGGGGACGGGGACGGGGACGGGGACGGGGACGGGGACGGGGACGGGGACGGGACGGGGACGGGGACGGGGACGGGGACGGGGACGGGGACGGGACGGGGACGGGGACGGGGACGGGGACGGGGACGGGGACGGGACGGGGACGGGGACGGGACGGGGACGGGGACGGGACGGGGACGGGGACGGGACGGGGACGGGGACGGGGACGGGGACGGGACGGGGACGGGGACGGGGACGGGACGGGGACGGGGACGGGACGGGGACGGGGACGGGACGGGGACGGGGACGGGACGGGGACGGGACGGGGACGGGGACGGGGACGGGGACGGGGACGGGGACGGGACGGGGACGGGGACGGGACGGGGACGGGGACGGGGACGGGGACGGGGACGGGGACGGGGACGGGGACGGGGACGGGACGGGGACGGGGACGGGGACGGGGACGGGGACGGGGACGGGGACGGGGACGGGGACGCCAAGACTATAGCAATAGCTCTCTTGCACTAAAGTGCAGGCGAGCTAACAATATACGATGCTTCCTTTATCAGAGTAGATTATACTGTAGCTAATTCCAAATATTTATTTGTTCTATCTGATGCGAGCTAAAAAGTTGCTGTGCACATGGTAGATTGTTGAAATTTACTAGAAAAGCGCTATAGCATGGAAAAATTACACTCAAAAGTACTCAATTACGTTAGCCGCGATATTGTCACTATTGAATTATATTTTTTGTTGCTCAGGCAAAGCGGTTTCACGCATACACAATATCTCTTCGTCAAACAAGTGTAACTACATGTATATGATGGCAACAATTTATCTTCATTTCAAGATAGATTTTGTATATTAAAATGTAGTATATACGGATCGATTGAGGCGCGATCTAGTTTCTTCCAGCGCGCCAATTCTTTCGTTAATCATGTGCATATAATATGGTTTTTAATTACACATCGAAACCAAATAACTGTGCATTAATTGACGAAAGAAAAATACACGGTATCGTTAAGTGATCGATCTCTTATTGCTAATTGAACACTCTTGTCAGCTGTCTCAAGAAATGAAAATAACTTTTACCCAACAGTATGAAGTATATAAAGAATATTTATAAGAATTGAAATGACAGAACAACTGCACTCGATAATAATTATAACCTACCCTACTGTACTGATAGGCACACCAAGCTCATTCCAACCGCCAAACCCCGGTTCTTCTCCACGGATTACAATCTTCGTGTCGCCATCACAGTCGAATTTATCAGATAATGCTGCATGAAAAACAACGGTTAGAGTTTTCTCCTTCGTGACCATAGGAACAGTGGTTTGACTAAATATCAAGAGCAAAATATTAAACATTTATTAATTTATAAGCAATATAAATTATATATATATATATATATAATATATATATATAATAATTATATATATATATATTATATTATATATATATATATATATGTATATATATATATATTCAAAAAAAGGCGCCGTATCGATCAAATTTGATAAAGATCACGAATGTTACATATAGTGGCAACTTACGTGGAATTCTTGGCGTTTTTCTTATTTTTCTTCCCTGTAGTTTGGTTTTGGGGAAGTGGTTGTTTTTGATAAAAGTAGCCGTTTCCCTAAATATGAAATAGGCAAACATATATATCATCAATTTACGAAAAACTAAATCGTCTTGCAAAATAATGCAAATTAATAACTAACACTTTGGGAGTCTTAGAAAAACGCTATAATTTCGCATTTGCTTTCCTGAGCGTAGTTATAAAGCATCGGGCGGACCTAGTACCATAATGAAATTTTCTCATTTGTGCAGTTGTCCAGTTGTATTTTCTGGAGGTTTCTGGACGAAATATGGGTGGACTCTTTTGATACTTTTGCACCTAGTTTGTATATTATTATTATATTTAACCAGGATACCCACATCACCGTATATAGTGTTTTTCAATATTTGTTTACAGTACTGTGAAAGCAACGTGGGAAACTAACATAAGAAATTGACATTTTGCATATGAATTGTTTAAATTTAAGTTTTAAGATTTGTTGCTTTGTGTATTTTTTGCTGGGAATTAATGCCAGTATAAGGCATTATCATTGCATTATATAATCCATTTATACAGTCAGGTGTATAGACATTACGTCAGACATTTATTGTGCTGAGTCATGCGTGTGGCTACTATATTTAAACTGTCCTAATTCGCCAATAGTCATAATTGTCATAATTGTCATAAACTGTCAAAAATTGCTATTCATGAGATTTGAGTCGATTGCTCTTCTTTTTTTATATACCCTGTATAGCGAATGTAATTACTTTGCTGGATAGTCGTCGAGTTCAGGCCTCGTTGCATATTGATCGCGACGAATGCAATTCAAACAATAGATAGCTAATGAGCTTAAAAAGCTTCATTAGCCTCATTATCATCTCATTAACAATTCTTTTCGATGTGACCAAAATGCGCGTTACAGGCCTTTACGAAATATTGATAAATTGCGCAACACTGGGAACAAACATCTCAAATCTTGAATGATATCGGAGTGTTTATGGTTGTTTGTATATAACAAAAGTATCCAAATTAAGTGCTGGGAGGTCGGAAGGAAAAAAAAAAAGGTTTCCGCCATTTTCAAATTTTAGCAACGAGATGATAGAACGGTAAAAAAATTAGTAACGTTTCTTAAGCTTGGAATTTCACGGAATTTATCAAAAAAAAAATCCTCAAACAAACAAACAACCATCCATGTGTTCTTTATGTTGGAAGTAGTTGTAGGGAAATATACAGCAGATTACTTGAAACAAAGCTTAAAGCCACTTCACGCACGCTTTGCTACCAAACTACCATAATGCATTGCGATAGGGAAAGTCGTCCATTCTAGCCCTCACATCGCTAACAAAACGCAATTTGTTATTGCATTGCATGATTACAATATTATCTGGTAAGCGCATTGAAAAAATAAGAAAGAACAATGTTCAAACAAGTTATTCCTAAAACGAACTGCTTTACGAATACAGATTATAAAATAACATGTATATAACGCGTGTTCTGATTGGTTGAAGCCCGTGTTTGGATCAGGCCATCCAAACACGGAAATTTCGCGGGAATTTAAAAACAAATTTATTATGGTTTGTTATTTTATAAAACAATTACTTAATGGTTTCCGTGTTTGGATGAACTGATCCAAATACTTGGGAATGTTGCTCGAGTTAAGAAAAGCTCGCAAAACACTCGCCTTCGGCTCGTCTTTCGCGCGCTTTTCTTAACTCTCGGAACATTCCCGCGTGTTTGGATCAGGCCATCCAAATACGGAAACCATTAAGTAATTGTATAATACTCAATAACTAGAAATACATGCATGAAAAATCCCCTCGCCTATTTGAAGCAATTAAGAGTGATTTCCAACACTGAAGTGTTATTGTACTCGTATCTATTGAACGATAGGCTTCCCAGTCATATAATTGAAGTCCTTCAAGAGTTGTCATACATTTGTTGACAAATCTACATATCAAACTTACCAAATGCGTGCTTTAAAAAAAAACAAAAGCTGCCATTAACCCGTTAAAAAAAAGACTTCAAAATCGTTGATTTTTTGCCATGCATTTAAATCACAGTTTCTTTCTCCGAAAGGATCTTTTACATTTCCTTTCAATCAATTTCAGGAGTCAATTTTTTGAAAGTTGATCCGAAATGAAAACTTATAAAAAGGCAAAATGTATACGTGATGCTGACTAAACGCGAGCAAACGGTTAAAGAATTATTTACAGCAATTAGAATAAAACAATGTATTGCAAAAATTACGTAACTGCGGACTAAATTTATATCTCGAAATGATTTTTGTCGCTTTTTCGTGTTTTTATGTATTCCTTACTTTGCGATTTAAAAATTGAAACAAACGTCTTCTTAAAATGATACCTCAACAGCAGGTTTTGCTGATTCCTTTGCCCTTGATAAAGGATCTTGAAATTCCTTCTGAGACATATTCAAAAGAGTCTTTTTCTTTTTAGGATCTTCTTCCTGTTTTAAAAAAATTAAAACAGACATATCAAGTTTTACATTAACTAATACGTTAACACCTTTACTATAGTAAGAGTGTTGTGATCAACACAGTTGTATACACAATTATATACAATTTGTGAAGGTTGAAAGTACTTCTATTTTTATATATTTGAATGGTCACAAACAGATTATGAATACATCATCGCTTAAATGTTCTTGTTTTTGGAGAAAACTTGAAAATGAGAGTTAAATATACTATGGTTTTAGGTTACGTCCTAAAACACTAAAACACCACGTCGACAAAACGCTTCGACGAAAATTACACGTTGTTAGACGAATTCCAACTATAATTCGAGCATTTTTTCATAATTTGGAACGGAATTCGATTAAAAATGTTACACAAAGTAAAGCCCACGGGCTGACCACTTAAAGCAGCAGTGCCACCCGTTGCGCATCGGTTCTGCAAAACATTCTATCTTCGGAATCTGTTGGACACAATCGTAACTTGGGATTAATTTTTATGAAGCGGAGCTATGGAGGTGTCATCAAGTGAGGTAAACATATTTACGCTCATGTAACAGAAAAGCCTAAACAATTGCTTTAACTCTACACAGGTTAACCTTTACAGTTGCAAGAGTTCATGTGCCACAAGCTGCTGCAAGCGTGCATGAACGCGCAAGAATAGGGTATGTTAGTAAAACAAATATGCCTATTAATCTTTCATTTGTTGGTAGTATATTCAACATGAGATATAGTTGACCTCCCCCGCAGGCCCTTTTCGGGCAAATATGGCGGGCAGTGATAATTTGCGGGTAGAAATTTAGAAACAAAAGCGAGAGACGAAGGGCCTGCCATATAACATGTCGAAAATCGGGAATGTGTCGAAAATCGAGAATCCAAGAAAATCTCGTTGAAATTTCGTCCATCCTTAGTTCAGGGCAATTTCTCACGCAAGCTGGGTTAATTTTGGACTTGCTGACAAAAAATATTATGGGAATACGGCAAACAAAAAAAAGGAATCGATATACGGCCTACGTAATATTTAGATGAGAATATAGAAAATACAAAGAAATATTATTTAGATTTAAAGTATGCCAAGATCTACCAGTCAACCACATCCAAATGACATATTTTATTTTTCGATTTGTTTCGAATTACATTCGGCAGAAACTTGATCCTCTGAAACATGAAACGGTATTTTTGGGCGTTGTGGCCGTATAGTTCGACAGCAAGCACCGATAAATCTGCGATAAGCATTGTCTATAGCGATAGCGATGTGAATATTCTCAATGTATCGTTTTCTGAAAGATGTATGTGGAGATGTATAGATTGATATTTATGTATAGAATGTATAGATTTCTGCAATAATCTCTCTAAAGTCAAAAGACAAAAAAGAACAAGGGAACAATAAGACGCTATAGTACTTTCTATTTATGTAGTAAAAATTATAGCTATTTACATTGTGAATGTTCTTTATGATAAAATGATAATGTTTATCTTTCAAATGGTGCCTTGATTTGGACGTACCACATGTTTGGCAATTGGCTTGTTGTCATTTAAAACAATCAGTCTTTTCTGTATGGTGTTTTACCCACCAACAACAATATTTGTTAATTCATTTACGACACAACAATTAGCTCAGGCCATATGTCTTTTTCTATTTCTTTATACTTTCAAAACAAAAGATATTTTCCTGTTAATAGAACCATATACGAAGACCAATTGAGTTAATAGAACCATATACCAAGACCAATTAGTCCTGTAGTAGGTTTAAATGTAGGGCTATTTGATTTCATTGGCAGAGGGCAAGCTCTTGCATTTTGCAGTGGGGCATAGGGTTGTTATGTCCAACAAATCTGTGGACAATAGGGTCACAATTAACAGACCGGGGAGGTGCATGTTGGTATCACCTAAACATTGGTTTGGCGTTAAAACATGTCATCATTAAAACCAAAGACACGAGTCACAAGACATAGTGGAGTTGGGGAGTTCTGAAAAGATGCCACCATGGTTGGCACTGAGTGAACATTTTGTTTTTGATTTGGATTAGAAAAATCTTATTATCTTTTATAGTTACATAATGTTTGAGCAGGGCTAATGCCAATAATTTTGTTATCTTTGCTTTTCTTGTCGATTATATTAACTTCGATGTATGCCATCTTGAAAACGTTAGTAAGCAGGCACCCTCGCTTGCAACCAGCATTTTCCGAAATTGCCCGAAATGCTCCCTAGCGCCTGCGGAGGAGGTAGACATATAGTGATATGTTGCGTGAGCAAAGGAGCGCAGCGAGACAGATCTCCACGCTGTCCAAACACGAGGCAGCCAGTTTTCGCGGCCTAACACAAAGCGAAACAGTAAGTTTAGAAACTGAAGAACTGCAAAGAGGGGAAGAAATTAATGATGTAAAGATTTTTAAATTTCTATTAAATAATTTAAACACTAATATGGCAATTATTACAATGACATGTTTATGATGTTTTCATTGTTTTGCAGTTAGAATAATAAAGCTTGTCTTTCACACATTTGATACACAACAATGCCCTTCTTGTTTTTATATAATTGGTGCTTCGTTAAATGTTATGCCTATTATTTGAAATGCATTCACACTGTCGAATTCACAGGCATTTAACCATAAGCTTGATGAGGATATGGTTAGAAAACTGGCAATTAGAAGTCTGAGAAGGGGAATAGGGAGCATGGATTACACCCATACCCTCCTTATGGCAGAGGATGACCTTGATTTTCGTGCAGGTGATTTGTTTCAGCAGGAGTCTGGGCCAATTGGGGAACAACAAGAAAGTCTTACTAAAGTGAAGGAGGTTCTGGCGAGGAAAGGCACCCTAGTCAGCCACAAGGTACTAGCTCAACGGTGGAAGGTGAAGTTCCTCCTTGCTGTGTATGTTTTAATTGTAGGCCTATAGCCTCAAGATGTTAAGAACAAGTGCTGCAATTTAAAAACACACATAACCTCATCATCATGGTTCTCAAAGATATGTTTGGATCCCGGCGTCCTTGAACTATGCATTCGGAATAGAAGCGACATTAGATATGACCGCTAAGACAACAGCACAAGGGTCTTTCGTAAAGCTGCTTATAGACAGTCCATTTTGGCCTGCCATGAATATCTTGGTAAAGGGAATCGGCGAGTTTTCCCCTCATGTGTAGTACTAAAGATAGGGCAGCGTTACCCATCTGTGAGTGGAGTGTACGTTGGATACAGAGAACGATGATACAATAAACAAAAATATTTCGAAAGTTCACCCTTATTTCATTTGTTTTTGTATATACAGTTTGACAAATAATTTATACTTTTAGCAATTGGAATATTGAGATGGTAATTCCTATCTATTGCTGCCAATTGCTTCCGGGCTTTATACACTCTATAACTAATGTATAGAAACTAAAAATTATGCCCTGTTTAAGCATACACACAATACATTTACTGTTACGATGGAAAATGATTATTGCCTTTTAAGCCTTTTATTCAAACATATTATTCAAATAAACAGCTGGGCATTTTGTTGTCACTGTCTAAAAATTGCGGGCGCATTTCTTCAAGAAGAATTTTAATTCTTCGAACGCCAAAAACATGTATTTTGAGGAGATTTTTCTCCTTTTTTACTGGTTTGTTCATGGAAATAAAAGGGTGTATTCAAAGATTACGTTCCCGTGCTTGCATACAAGGGTATAACGACATTCTCGCGTAAATATTTGCGAAGGTAAATATTCGCGTAAATATATTGTCAAAGTCTCAGGACCAGGCTACAGCAGTATGCAAACAACGAATTAACCCTATTTTACTCTTGACAGAAGCTGACATATTGTTGTTTCCACAGGTGTGTTCATTAATCTATTTGTCCCTTCTCACGCGAAATAGTAAGTACCTCAACATGCATTTTTCTATAGAAATAACACCTTTTCCTCTAGGTCTAAAGGTACTAAAGATCATGTCATAAACGGTTCTAAAGATTCCCCATTATTGTATTTTGATGCAAGCAATGTTATACTAAATTTTTGCTCAAATAATTTTATTATACTCTAGTTAAATGATCAGAAATAGGAAGTAACATATCCACAGGCTAATTTATATGTTTGTTTACAGACAAAAATAAGTATTGTGCGCATTTTTCTCAGCATGCCCACTAATTTTTTTATGAAGTTTGAACAATATGGATAGTTTTAAGCCATGTTTCGGAGAGAGGCACTGGTAAAAATTTTAAAATATTTTTAAATATGTGCCATAGCATGACATAATTTCACAAAGCAAGCATGCCCATATTAGAGTTTGCAGTTAGATTCTTAAAACTTACCAAATCAATAGGACTTTTCATAATTCATAACAACCAATACTTGGACATATTAAAATCACTTTTGCAGCAATTTTTACATCATAACAAACTCATACAGAAGGAAATTTGTAAGTATGTTACAACATGGCATTTTCAGAGCATAAGTGGTTTGTGAAATTACAACATCTAGAGCATTTTTCCCATGAGTGGCTAATGTTTCAATAACACAAAACATGATTTAACTTTCATAAAATATACTTTATAACTGAAGGCAAAGGTCAGTTTTCACGAAATCGAAAGAGGAAAAGGTGTTATTTCTATAGAAAAATGCATGTTAAGGTACTTATTATTTCGCGTGAGAAGGGACAAATAGATTAATGAACACACATGTGGAAACAACAATATGTCAGCTTCTGTCAAGAGTAAAATAGGGTTAATTCGTTGTTTGCATACTGCTGTAACCTGGTCCTGAAACTTTGACAATGAGTGAAATACTTTAACTTGTCGCCCATTTGTAAATAAAAATCCTTCGCAAATATTTACGCGAGAATGCCGTTATACCCTTGTATGCAAGCACGGGAACGTAATCTTTGAATACACCCTTTTATTTCCATGAACAAACCAGTAAAAAAGGAGGAAAAGCTCCTCAAAATACATGTTTTTGGCGTTCGAAGAATTAAAATTCTTCTTGAAGAAATGCGCCCGCAATTTTTAGACGACAGCGACAACAAAATGCCCAGCTGTTATTCAAATATACAAAACAAAAAACGATATCGATGAGCGAGCGGAATGCAAAAAGGTACAGCTCCCACTGATCTCAAGTTTTTTACTCGAGTTTTTCCCGCGCCTAGCGTGGAAAACTTTACCCTACAAAACATCCCCCTTCCCCACTGCTGACTAATTGCAGTGGGAGTTAACTAGAATATCAATGTCAGTTTATAAGGTTCAGAGTTCTTCAAAGTAATCTTGAAAATGCCCTTTTTCGGCCAGAATTTCACCTCGACCCTCCGTGCATGGCGCCTGTATTAGACGCCATATTGAAATTCGAAACATGAAAAAGTTCACCCACCCAACCTTTTCAAGTTAACTCACGCGCAGAACCGATGCGCAGTGGGTGGCACTGCTGCTTTAAATGAAGGCAAAAATCAATCTAATTTGGAATTCTGCTGGTTGGACGGCCGCGTCGGCCAAATAGAGGAGGCCGTTTAACAGAGCTTTAGGGCTCTTAGAGAATATTGCTTGTAGTAGTTATATTACAAAAATTTCGGCACTTTGATATGTGACCGTTAAATAGTGAGTGGCCATTTAATGGAGGGCCGCAAAAAGAGGTCAGACCGCAGCATTTGTTTGCCTAAGGTTTGGTGAATACCCCTAAATAAAAACCTTGACTTCTTGGTTTTTATTCAGCGATATTCACCTCACATTCGGCGAATAATAATTGATTATTAACCGAGCGTGAGGTCTGTACTGTAAAAAGCCTCGGTCTGATATTTCACAGTACAGATAGAATAAGCGAGGTCAATAATCTGTTTATTATATGGCTTAATTGTTAATAGTGAAAGATTTGTATATGCATTTCATTTAGGACTGGTAATCTGAACTGCTTTAGGGCAACTTCACCATAGGCATAGCGAAAACATCCGAAACTGACCACACCAAAGAAAAGACATTCTCGCTATGGTGCTATCTGCTAAATCAAAAAAAGCTTTGACTATTCTGAGGTTCTTATGTGGTTCCAACATGGTCATTTCACGGACATGCGTCAATATGTGGCTCGCAACTTCGAATAAACAGCAGTGGTCTTACGCTACCTTTTTCTCCAAGTCTTTTTTTATAGAAACATAATTCCGCGCTTTTAAACTGTCGACTTACAGCTCACTAATTACAGTTGTAACTAATTACAAATTACAAATTGCGTTATCTGTTGCGTCCAGTTTTTTTTATAAAACATACCTGAACCCTTTCGTCTTGTCCTGGATTTAGTAATATGTCTTGTGCCCCGGTAGAAGTCCCATTACCTTTTTCATTTTTGTTTTTCTGGCTAATTTGACTTCCCTGAAATTTATCTTCGTTGCCCTTTTCTTTTAAACTCTTTCCACTTCCGGAAGTTTTCCCCTCGGGTTTTTTGTCTCCAGTCTTATCGCTGTCGTCAGCGTTTTCAGACTCGTCACCTTTTTCATTTTTGTGTCTCTGGCTAATTTGATTATCTTCGTTGCCCTTTTCTTTTGAACTCTTTTCATTTTCTGAAGTTTTCACTCTGGGTTTTTTGTCTCCAGTCTTCTCACTGCCCTCGTCCATTTCTTTGCCAACATTCTTCTCTTTCGATTGTTTGTCATGTTCCTGTGTACGTTGCTCAACGTATTTTATTTCGGTCAAATTTTCTTCAGTAGCAGAAGATTTAATTGAGTTTCCTGTCACTATCTCTGGTAGTACTGCACGTTTAGGATCTGTATCACCACTTACTTCAACTTCTACATGTATACATTTATTGTCAATAGTCGAGATTCTTGAAGAGGCAGGTGACTGTTGCTTTCTATCCCTCTGAATCCCTTGTCCAACTATCTGTTGAGGGTTTGTTTCACCAGAGGAGGCAGAAGACCGTTGTATGCTTTTTGTCTGTATCCCTGGCTCAAATGTCTTCTCAGAGTGCGTCTTATCACCTTCATTACCCTCTACATCAATATCATGATCGTGAACGCTTAAATTCTCTGGAAAAGTAGACAACTGCTGTTCGCCTTCTTTCTGCCTCACTGGAGCAATGAACTGCTTAGGGTCGGTTTTATCACGTACATCAACATTTGCATTAGAAGCTTCATTGCCAACAGCCATAATAGCTGGCGATTCAGACGACAGTGCCATGCTATCTGTTTGTATCTCTTGTGCAACAGCAAACTTAGAAACAGTTTTATCATTTCTTTCGGTGCTTTTGCTTTCTGCTACATTAAAGATTTGATGAGCAGTGAAATTATTCTGAGAAGGTGACAGTTGCACACTTTTTGTCGGCATTCCTGGTAAAGCTGTACGTTCAGGATTTGTTGTACCAGTTGCATTCCTACCACTAACCGTGTCAGCAACTAAGGACTTTTGCACATCTTCTACCAGTGTTTCTGCATGGAGGGTCTCCACGAATTGTTTAACTTCCTGATTTTCACTAGCGACCACAATCGCATGATCTACACTTTCCTCAGAAGTACTGCGAACATTATGGGTGTCTGAAAGATCCTGCTCAACACCACTTGCAATTGGGATCGTTCCACTTTGAGCACCATTATTTTTACACGATGTAAACTGTTGGGATCCTTGTTCCACAACAATTTCGGCCAAAACAATTGGTTGTTTTACTTCAATAACATCACTTAACACTACAGCCACACGGGTTAATGTCAATTCTGAATCACCACACACTGCAACATGGTCGTCAGACGAAATGGCATCTTATAAAGTAAAAATTGTTATTAGTTAGACAGCATAAATCGTCAATTAGTGAGGGCCTTAATTGCTAACTTGTCGCCCTAGCAACATCTAGCGCTCCAAACCTCAAGATTTGCCGTCGGCAAACAATTCGTCCTGCCTCAAATAATGTCAGAATCATTCTGTTTTCCTTCTGTTCTGCTCACACAGCTTTTTGCTAGGCAAGCCTTTATCAATAGCCTTCATGTTCACTGTATGTATAGGATTGCGCGGTATGCTTGAAAGTAGCGATGCAGAAGTGGAAGAACGTCGAGAATCTCTGTTAGGTGGTTTTGGTTGTAAAAGCCTTCTCGACGCAGATGAGCACTTTTAAAAACTAATACTGATCGGGTTTTCCTACATTTGTAATAAAAATTTTCAAAACTGAGCGAAAAAAATTTCCTTTGTCATATGATAAAGATTTCTGAGGATCTTCAGCGGCATGTGTTTTGATAACAGGGAGATTTAACACGAGGAGGTTAACGTCAAAGAGGACATGAAAATGGCGTAATGTGTCTATTTGGACATGCCGCGCCATTTATTCGTCATTTTCAGGTCGTTGTAGCAAATACTGTATAATATGTGTCTATGTATTGGGACCCATGGCTACTAAATGATACTGTACAACTAATGACTTAGAACAGTTAACTGGGGATTTTTTCGATTTTCGCTTTTCACTGATGTGAATGAGTGAATTAATGCAATAAATTGACCTTGTTATATGTTCATCACAGCTACGCCCTGCCCCTATCCCTAACAAAAATTAAGGCATCATTGTATTTGGACACATGTTCAATGGTAAATAGATCAACACAAATGGACACATATAAATGTATTTTGATACAAATCCTTACCTTCCTTACTATCAAGAGTTGAAATAATTTCTTCTATTGATTTCCCACACCCAAAACAGAATTTATGTTCTTTTGGTTTAAGCTTTGTATCACAATTAGGGCAAAAAACATCTAAAACTATAAGCAGAAAAAAACTATTGAATTACAAAACTTAAGAAAGGCCATTTCTATCTAAATTATTTACATATGTCTAGCTTTACATATTCAAGTTTCGCGCTGTTCTTTATAACTCTGTATACGTTGAGAGCGTCTGAATCAAATTTTATTAATAAGGAAATAATTACAGTCTGTATTTAAATAATACTATCCGCTAATAGCAAAGCTAATCGGGGCGGATAGTGAAACGAAATTAGGTAAGATGTGCTCAGTGTTTAAATAAGAAATTAGAGTATTCCTTATCTACTTTACAAAGTGGCCCAATATACTGACAGCATAAAAATATCATTGTTATAAGGAAGCATTAATTTCCTGTTTATTTCCCTGAAAACACTGTTTTCAAAGCTTACTCATATATGTGGGTACATCAACATAGTCATCCTCAATCTCAAACATAGTTAAAAGACTTTTCTGAATTTTCAAATTGAAATTTTTTCTCCCCATCTCTCGAACATCAGTGGGAATACTATTCCAAATTTTTACCCCTGATTTTACAAAGGATGTGGTTGTTATAGTTAGTTTTGAGTATTCAATATAAAGATTATTGGATACACAAGATCTAGTGTTATAAGTATGGACTTCTTTTGATTGGATAAAACAATCAGAGATTGAAGTTGGACAAGAACTATTTGTAACATCGTACATTAGATTACAAATAGTTTTAAAGTAAAGCATATTTAAAGGAAGTATATTGGAGTGAATAAAAAGTGGAATAGCATGTTCCTTGTTTGTTTTAAAATTCATTAGACATAAAGCTCGTTTTTGGAGAATAAGTATCTTGTTCAAATATTTTTTTGGCGCTTGACCCCAAACAGCTATACCATATGTTATATAAGGTAAAATTAAACATCGATAAATGTTTTGTAAAGTAGACAGGGTGGTACAAAATATCTAAGCCTTGTAATTATGCCAATTGTTTTACTTATTTTAGATGCAATATTATCAACATGATATCTCCATGTGAGATTACTATCTAATACGACACCTAAATATTTTATAAATTCTTTACATTCAATGTTAGTTAATATATTGGAATCATTGTCAAACATTTTTAATTGAACTTGATAATCGAGCTTTTTTTGGTATGGATGAAAGATAACATGATTGGATTTCTTTAAATTAAGAGTTAACTTATTTGTGTTTAGCCATTCACAAACTTGTATCAATTCTCTGTTGATAATCGTTTCTAGAGATTTTAATTTTTTATTGGAATATACTAAGTTCGTATCATCAGCAAACAAGTAAAATTTGAATACCTCAGATGATTTGTGAATATCATTTATATAAATTAAGAAGAGTAAAGGCCCAAGAACTGAACCTTGTGGAACACCCAAGTTAACTGTATGTTTTGATGATATGTTACCACCAATTTGGGTTGTTTGTATTCTATCAGTTAAGTAAGATCTGAACCAGTTGTTGATCACTCCACGGATGCCATAATGATGTAATTTATGTAGAAGTATGGAATGATCAACAGTATCAAAGGCCTTTTTTAGGTCAATAAATATTCCACATGAAAATAGTTCCTTGTCCATATTATTGTGAATATTATTTATAATATCAATAATGGCATGCTGTGTTGAGTGTTTAGCTCTGAAACCATATTGTTTATCATAGAAAATTTTATGTTTATCGAAAAACGTGTCCTGAGACGTTTATACATTAATTTTTCAAAAATTAGATTAAAATTTGAGAGCAGTGAGATTGGCCTATAGTTCCCCGGATCAGTTTCATCAATGGTTTGAATGGTTGTTTTAAAGTTGATCTCATATGAGTGGTAGTTGAGGGATGCGTTGTCATGGTTGACTGCATTTCGTTGTCAGGGATGGTCGCTGTGGAATGATTAGATTGTTGTGTATCAGATGCGGGTGGATTTAAGTTATTATTAGTTATATTATTGTGATTATTGACAGAGTCCTTACGTTTTGTCTTAAGTTGCAGATAGACTGCAGGAATGTCGATATGTCTGTTCATAGTATTGTCGTCTGTACTAAACCAAGCTTCTTTGAATTCACTTTCTACAGAATTATCTTTTCAAAACTACTACAGACAAATTTCAGGCACACCTACCGGATCTCCTCTCTCTACCTTCTTCAATAACGAAAACATAAAATCATGACACGTTGACGTGTCGTGACATAACATAAAATCATGACAGATGTAATAATGCTCACCAGACATGAGAGTTATACATGTGTTTATTGATTACTCTATGTTATATATATATACACTATTAATTATGCATGCATAGGAGGCGTGGATACCACATCCCTCCTTCAACTAATTCTAGATCCTAAATGTGTGTCCTAATGTTCTTTGGATTAGTTCGTTATCTATAGTTATTATCCTATAATTTATTTAATAAGTTCCAGTCCACTTCGATTATTCAGATCTTCTAATTATACTAAAGTTAATACGTTACATAGTCCTCGAGGTAAGCCGGTTTCCGTTTCGTCCTTCTTGACCGTTGTCGTTGTTGTTGTTCTTCTCTCACTTCTATTTCTGCCGTTCCTTCTTGATTCGCTCCTGGATGGTTCACTTCTGGTTGATTCACTTCTGGTTGGTTCACTTCTGCTGTCTCTTTATCTTCTAACGGATTGACTTGTACTTGTACTTGTCCTTCCTTAGGCCTTTCTTGACCATTCATATTACATAAAGGGAATGAACCATGCACTTTCTGTTCTGGAATTACCAGCAAACTGTCTTCTTCTGAGGCATCACCTTCGTCAGCAGAGCCAATAACTGAGTTCACCAACTTGAATCGACTTGCGTCGCGGCAGATTGTTCGTCCATCCGTAACTCGCCTTGCCGTTATCTGAGAGCCTCGAATTTCACTTACGACATAGAATAGCGGTTCATATGGTGTACTCCATTTGTTCTTCCTTAGCTGTTCCACTAACACATAGTCACCGAGCAGCAACGTCTTTGCCTTTTTCCCTTCTCTGTTTTTTTTCATCTTTAGTTTGTAAAGTGCGTCTTTCTGATTGATCTTGTTGTCCTCATCAATATTATTTCTCCTGGGTTGTATATAATCAAGTTTTGTCCGTATATTCACTCCTCTCATTGCTGCATACGGCGTAACTCCAGTTGCTGGGTGGGGTGTCGATCTGTATGCTGTCAGCATGTCTTGGATGGCGTTATGTCTTTCAAAACGGTTCCTACTTTGAAGATTTGCTATTCGCTCAGTCTTGTTTAATGTTTGCATGAAGCGTTCCGCTTCTCCGTTAGCTCGAGGGTGCGCTGGTGTTATGGTGTGGTGTTGGAATCGTTCTTCTTTCGCGAATTCTTTGAATTCCTTTGAGTTGAATGGTGGTCCATTATCAGATTCTATTCTCCTCGGTGTACCATACGTGGCAAAGATGTGCTTCATTCTTTCTTTGTTTGCCTGAAAATTCGTTGATGATACTGCTTCTACAACAGGATATCTAGTCCTTTTGTCAATCATGACAAGATTATAATGCCCGTCTGGATACGGTGTTCCATGGTTGATTTGGAATACTCGTTACCTTAATTGGTTCTTCGCGGTTCTCTTTTGTAGCCACCTTGCATTCACAACATTGGTCGATTGCATTGTCAATCATACTGTTCATACATGGAAACCAATATTTCTCTCTCAGCATCTGCTTCGTCTTCGTTCTTCCCAAATGTCCTAGCTTGTGACCGAGCTTGACAATCTTCCTTTGGAGTGTCTCTGGCAAAACAATGCGTTGCTCTCGAAATATCATCCCTTCGTCGACACATAACTCTTGTTTGACATGATAGAACGGTTCAATATCTTTATCTCGTCTGTACTTCTCCCAATCACCTTTTGTAATTCGTTTGGCAATCTTTTGCATCTTCGGATCTTTTTTCGTTTCTTCTTGTATTCGTTCGATCACTGCGGCATGATCACTGTCAACAGTCCATCTGACGATCTTCTCTGTGTGGTCGTTCCCAGTCTCAGGTAGAGGATGTCTGGAAAGGTAATCCAAGGGGTCTGCTTCGTTCTTCCCCGGTTCATAAATTAGCTCGTAATCAACATCTTGCATCTGCATGACCCACTTCTCTATTCTTGGAGGCATTTTTGCTTTCACTTTGTTGAACAAAGGTAACAAGGGTTTGTGAGCTGTTACAATTTGGAATTTCGGTGCTCCGAAAAGGTACGATCTTAATCTTTCCTTTGCCCATTTGATGGCCAATGCGTCTTTCTCTGTTTGGCTGTATCTTTTCTCCGTTTCTGTCATGGATCTACTAATGAAGTGTACGGGTTTCATGCCTTCATTCGTTTTCTGGAGTAGCGGTGCAGCCAATCCCTCATTGAAACTTGCTTCAGTTCGTAAGATGGTCTGTTTCTTGGGGTCAAAATAGGCCATAGTCTTGCTTTCTGAGATGCTGTGCTTTAATTTCATGAACGCGTTCTCTTCTTCTTTTCCCCATTGAAATTTTATTTCTTTCCTTGTCAGCCGATATAATGGCGCTGCCATGGTTGCGTAATTGTCGATGAAGTTGTCCAGATATCCGGTCATGCCAAGAAAACTGCGGACCTCTTCCTTGCTCTTAGGTATTCCACATTCTTTGATCGCCTTGACTTTCTCTGGTGATGGCTTCAATCCATTTCTGGTAAAGGTGTATCCAAAGAATTCAATTTCCTCTTGTTCAAACTTGCATTTCTCTTTATTGAAGGTAATGCCGTAGTCTTTTGCTCGTTGAAGGACAGTTCTTAAACTTTTCCTATGTCCTTCTTCGTCTTTCCCTTCAAGTAGGATATCATCCCTCTGATTAAGACAATGCGGTATATCTCCAAATACTCGAAACATCACTTCATCAAATACGTCTTGAGAGGATTTCGCACCAAATACCAGTCTTCTAGGTCGATAATTCCCCCACGGTGTGCTAAACGTTGCCAACCTCCTCGTCTCGGGGTCGAGTGTTAGCTGATGATACCCTTGTCGTAGGTCTAGCTTTGAAAATACTCTGCAGTCATGTAAGTGGTATTCAAAATCTTCGACTCTGGGTGATTGAACACATCGACTACGCTTCATTGATTTATTCGGTATTCTCATATCTATGCTTGCCCGAATCATCTGGGATTCCAGCTTCTCTTTGTCGATCCCTGTAAACTTGGATTTCGGTTGGACAACCAGCGGTGAACACCACGTGATAGGTTCTCCATCAGGAACTTTCTCAAATATTTCCTCCTCAGTTCCTTGTTCTAACCATTCTTTGAGCGGTTTTAGCAAATGGTATGCTACAGGTCGAGGTTTCTGTGCTACAGGTATCGCTTCCGGGTCCATTTCAAGTCTGACTTGCATTTCATTCCCAGTGTGTCCTTATCTCGAATGCATCCAATTCCCTCGAATACTTCGTCATACTCATCCAGGAGTACTTCCAACCCATCTTTAGCTTTAACTGATTTTATCTTTAATTCGTTGGTTTCTTTTAGTGTTCCATCTGGCTCTATTTTGAGCATTCCAAGCTCGATAAGCGTTGTCTTGCATAACAACGGGGTTGAGTTCATTTTTCCTTCGATTACTAGAAACTTGCTTGTCGTACCCCGATTCTTATTCCGTAATACAGTTCCAAATTCGCCTTTTACTGTTAAGGTGGATTGTAGCGTTTTCAGGGTATCCCTACTACTTCGCAACTCGCTGATCTCTTTCGACCTGTGGCAAAGGGCCTTGAATTGGTATTCGTCCATTATATTTGCACTTGCACCACTGTCCGGTTCCACATGTGCATCAATATCTCCTATTCTGATCAGTACTGTCTCTTGATTCCCTCCTGACCGTACTCTCTTTGCATGGTGCTGGACGTGTCTAGCTGTTTGGTATATGAAGCCTGCGTCAGAGTCACTGCTTCAATCATTATCAGACGTTGTTTTCTTGATGCTTTTGGTTTCTCGGTTGTTTTGCTCTCTCCTAAGTCCCAATTTATCAACATATCGATGATTGCCTTTCTTTGTCTCTTCCTGCCGACTCTTTCCTCCTTTGCAAAATATCGCGAAGCGATTATACCTACCACACTTCAAGCATTGTTTACCAAAAGCAGGGCAGTTCTGACCTGGTTTGTGGGCATCTGTCTTTCCACAGTAATCACACTTCTTCCCCCTTTTCTTTACTCCAGTCCTCTGCTCATACTGTTTCCCCTGTTCATCTCGCTCTTTTGGATATTTCCCATCGTTTCTTCTGTACTTCCATTTACCTCGGTTTGCTCCCCGATCTACTCTAGCTACTTTATGCTCATCCCTCATATCTTTAACTTGTTGGCCAATGTCCTCGCGCTGGCTTGCTTCTTCGATGAATTGTTCCAGATCCCATCGTTTTTGAATACATTTCTTAATGAGATCATTGTCCTTTATGGTCTGAATCAAGTGTTCTAAAATTCTATCATTGACTTGGTCGCCAAATTCACAATCTCTAGCTTTCTCACGCATCCTAGCATCATATGCAACGATGCTTTCTTGCGAATCTATCCGTTGCTTGCTGAACGTATATCTCGCATGATGTTTATTTTTCTTCGGCAGGAAATATGTGTTTAATTTCCTTTTTAACTTCTTATAATCGTTATCTTCTAAGATACCTGGTGGGTCTGGTAAGTTACGTGCCAATTTCTTTAACTCTTGTCCACCATATATTTTAAGAGCCCTGACTTGATCTTGTACATCTTTAATCTCAAAGTATGTTACTTCGTCCTCAAAGTCTTCGATCCACTCCTCCCAAGCCCTTCCGACTTTTAAATGGTCATCGGGGATCTTGAATGGTTCTATCTTTAATGTCTTGCTTGTCGTTAATACTCTGATTTCGTTTCCTTCAGCCGCTTCGGCCATGGTGTGATTTAAAGTTCAAAGTCCGACACGCCTAAGTGATTTTTTTTTCTCTTTTGTTTATCGCAAATCTCGCTGTATTTCTTCTTAAAATCGTCAATACGATGTATTCCCTTCTAAAATCTTCGCTGCTATGTACTCTATCTTAGTCCATTTTAATCCGATCAATTCTTGCTGACTTGCTCGTCTCTCAGTCAATCTCGCTGTACTGCGGTGGCGTGATGTCAACAGTTCGAAATATGGCTTGCTTAGCTTCGCTTTGGTCGCCGAATTCTCTCCAATCTCTGCTATATTTCCACTAATGTCTTCACTACCGTGTGCTCTAGCATAGTTTCTTCGATCTAATTACATTTTAGTTCGTTTCTTCCCCATTTTTCATCCTCGTCGCCAATATAATAATGCTCACCAGACATGAGAGTTATACATGTGTTTATTGATTACTCTATGTTATATATATATATATACACTATTAATTATGCATGCATAGGAGGCGTGGATACCACAACAGATACGTTGACGATGTCTTCGCAACGGCAAAGAAAGACAAGACTCACGATATTTTATACGAAATTAACCAAACGATTGAAAACATAAAATTTACCAAAGAAGAACATAACAACCAACTTGCTTTTCTTGACGTTTTATTAACACGAACTAATGACGGAACAATAAACACACGAGTTTACCGTAAGAAAACGCACATTGATCAAATCTTAAATTTTAACAGTAACCACCCAACTCAGCACAAAATAAGCTGCATTAGGACGTTATTTAACCGAATAGACACACACTGTAACACAAATGAAGCGAAAAAAGCGGAACGCAAATACTTGTACTTAACTTTGGAAAAGAATAACTACCCGAAAAATTTCATTAACAAAGTACTAACGAAACTGAGCAACAAACAAATGAAATTAATGAATCACAAAGAGAACCTGAAGTATCAAATAAAACAATTACCTTACCATACATTCAGAGCACATCTGAAATGACTGCCAGACTACTTCGTCCTTTTAAGACGTAACACATAAACCAGCACACAAACTTAGGTCATATTTTACAAAACACAAGGACAAAACTACAACCACCGAGACAAGAAATGCCATCTACCTGATTCCTTGCAAAGACTGTCCACAACGATACATAGGTCAAACCTCGAAGAAAATCGAAACCCGAATAACTGAACACAAGAACGCTATAAAACGACACGACCTTAAATCTCTACCGCAGTACACACATACGACAACTTTCACACCTTTGCCTGGACAAAAACTGAACTACTGGGACGAGCACAAACAAAACACGCACGTGAATTCAAAGAAGCTTGGTTTAGTAGAGACGACAATACTATTAACAGACATATCGACATTCCAGCAGTCTATCTGCAATTTAAGACAAAACGTAAGGACTCTATAGATAGACGCTCGAAGTCTATCTAATTAGAATTGCATATGATCACATTTGCATGGGATTTCAATCATATTACGCAACATATGCAATTCTGCAAATCATATGTAATAGCATATACATATACATACACACATACAAAACATACATACATAAAAAAAACGCAACCACTTAAATATGCAAGACATTAATACAAGTCTAAAGCGCAATAGATAAGCACCTCTGGGAATTGAAAATGGCTCTTAATCCTTCATTTAAAATGCTAAAAGTCATTTTAGCTGAACTATGGTGCATACCCGAACAATATAAATCTTCTTGCATATTTAAGTGGTTGCGTTTTTTTTTGAGACACCCTGTATAATTAGATTCTAATTACATATGCCAAACAAGAACTCTTTTCAATGTTCACACCCATATAAAATGCATACTTTAAATGTCAGGACATTGAGTATATATTGCTATTAGAATTCTTAAAAGTATCGATACCAAGGAAATGGAAAGTTAATATTCTGGACAAGTACAAATTAATACCCTTTAGGCTTGTGGAAATTTTATAAAATAAATCATGTGCTGAGCCATCCTTTGATCAGTTTGATGGATAACTTGCTTGCCAATATCTCAGTACAATTAATTTTCCAAGACCAAGAACTTGGTAAGTTGAGTTTATGGATTTACGTTTTTAAATTTTTATTCATGTCAATGTAACTAATTCTGATGCAGTATTAAGAAGCGAGTTAACAATTAAAATTTGGTTTTTTATAATGAGAATTTGAGCAGGCAAGACAATGGATGATTATATAGTCCATTAAAAAATGTTTAAATCTAATTGATCATACAGATCTGAGTTGAGTTAAGCTATAATTTAAAATATATTTCACTTTTTTTGAGATACAATATATAGTGTTAAGGTTGTGCTCATAATACTTCATTTTATATCCTACATGTAATTAGTTGTGATTCAATTTGATTTAGCCAATCATAGGAGTGTAATTGTATATATAACAAATTTCTTGTAATATATTACCAAATATATATAGAATTATTAGTAATTATTTTGACCAATTATAAAAGAGCAGTTTGGAACATAAAACACACTGAATGTAAAATGTACGTCAGTTATTGTAAGCTTCCACCGAGTGTGTATGATGTGTGTAATTTGGATTGAATAAAGAAGATAATTAAACTACAATGAACTCGACAAATAGCCTAGCTAGCCACTATATAGCTGCATAAAAAATTAAAAGAATACCAATTTCCTGTCAAGAGCTATATATCTAAGGTAGTCAACCTATTATTTTTGACTCTGTATAAAACAATTAATGCATCAATCTTCACTCCATATCTAGTAATTTACAAATATTGGTAGCATGTATAGCGATTCTTGCTGAGAATTTCTTTTTGACTGATGCGATAAGTAGATTAGTGCAATAAGTGGACATTGTTATATGTTCATAACAACTTAGCCCTGCCCCTGGCCTTTAGAACCTAGTGACAGTAAAAAATTAAGGCATCAATGTATTTGGAAACATACCAATGGTACATGGATCAATGCCAATGCTAACATGCATGTACATGTATTTAGATACAAATCCTTACCTTGCTTACTACCAAGAGTTGAAATAATTTCTTCTATTGGTTTCCCACACCCAAAACAGAATTTATGTTCTTTTGGATTAAGCTTTGAATTACACTTAGGGCAAATGACATCTAAAATTTTAGGCAGAAAAAAAACTTTTCAAAAGGACATTCCCAGACTCTTAGCCAATTGTTTTAAAATATATTTGTCCCATTTTACAGAGCAATTCACAAATCATCTCCTAAATTCATTATTTGTGAATTCACACCACCGGAAAATTGCAGAAATACAACCAACGAATGACCATGTTTTAATTTGGATTTTAAAAGCTGGGAATTCAGTGCAATTAATTTTCAAAGAACTTGGCAATTTGAGTCGATGGATTTTATTTTATTCATGTCAAACCAGTATTAATTCAGGAAGTTAACAATTTATTACTTTTATAGGAGTCTGCCTATAAAGCAAGACAACGGAAGTTGGGTCAGAAAGAAACTAAACGAAAGTGCGCATTGTATTTAAAAACTTTTCAATCCAAGTGTGTACAGATCTGCGAGTTGAGTTAGGCCTGTTTCAAACGTCGCATTTTGCATGCATCGAATACGATTCTAATTAGATTCGACCCTAAAACAATAATCCGACCGTCATTTCAAATGTCGCATTTCGCATGTGCTGAATTCAAATAGTTGCGAGCTCTATTCCTGTTGATCAGCGACAGTCCGCTTGGGCGTAAATAAAAAATTTCATATTTCTAAAAATCCTTTTCTTGCTATTATTTTCCTAATACTCTTGCCTAAATATATTACACTTTATGCAATATCCAACTGCTTCCCAGCCGCTTCCAGCAAGCCAGCCAGCCTTGGGATTCTTCGTTTTGTTCGTGTACTGCGCAACCATTACAAACAGACGCGGTAGGCAAATGTATTTTGTCAACTTTCATGCACACGTAATACAATACGTTTGTTCTGGTTCATTTCTTTTGTCTATACGGCCTCCATATTTCCTTATTTGTGCCTTTCAATATCATAACATGCATGACGTTCTTTGCCTTTTTCTTCAAGCGAATTGAATTCGACACATGCAAAATGCGACCTATGAAACCACGTCGCATCCAGCTCGCATAATACGACCGGAACAGTCGAATTTAGCATCACGGTCGACCGCAATTAAAAACAGCGAATTCAATTGTTTCATACGTCGCATCTCGCATGCAGATAATTCAAACAATTGTATTCGACACATGCAAAATGCGACGTTTGAAACAGGCCTTAAAGGCAGTTTAATTAGTTTTGGAGTTACATGTACAACACTCACAATAGACTGGGTAGCCATATATACTAAATTCCATTCGAGAGGGTAGTCGATCTTCTATTTCGACTGTTTAAAACAATGGCGATGCATCTTAATTCCTTAGCAATTTACATATTCAAGTATATATATTGCACACTAGGTATGAAATACCTACCATTTTTGTCCATCTCTGCGTGGTGATCAAGATTGTCAGGTATAGAGTTCGAGGATAAAGAATCTGTCGAAGATGACGAACCGTCGAATGTTGCTTCGTCACTGGTACAAGTCGACAAAGAATTGATAATCTCGCCTTGTTGCTCGTCGCTACTAGGTGTAGGGGTTTTCTCCCTGTCGCCTTCCATACGAGCAATTTGCCGTTTCAAGCGTTTACATCGATATTGCCTACATTTGAACGATGCTCTTAAATTCGTTGCTCGTCGCTCAATGAGTTCTCGTCAAATAATTGTTAAATCGAAAGTGAATCTGAGTAACAAATAACAATTGTGTACCTGGAAACAAAGACAACATTTGTCTGATTGGTTGATTTTTAAGATAACGTTTGCGCGGTTGCTATGGAAATTACAATATGGCTGCGAGTCGAAGGCACTGAGCAGCTATCCTAAGTGCAGTCAGGCGTAACATCAGCTATATAAGACTGAAATCTCAGTAAATCAGGGTCAGTTGTTAAACGCTACTCCCGAGAAGCAGTTGAGATGGCCGAAGAACAAGATCCACCGAGGTCCAAATTGTTTTGCCACCAGTCGTCAAACAACAAGCCGAGGTGGAACAGCAGCCGCAAGTTGCTCCGGAGTAAATACCTGCTCGCAATCAAGCAGGGGCCGGTTGTATGAAAGCCGGATAGCGCTATCCACCGGATAGTGATTTTTTTAACCGTTCTAAAAATGCTTGAAAAGTGATAAAATTTCATTTTGGAACCAGCAATTATTAAAGAGGATACTCGATTTAGGAATACTAAGACTTAATCAAAGTTATGGCAAACAACGGGTGATTTTGATGCGATTGAAAAAACCACTATCCGGTGGATAGCGCTATCCGGCTTTCATACAACCGGCCCCAGATGCTCAGCCGCATGGTCATGCTCCACCGGTTTAGGTATCTCTCATACTATAGGCGAGTTTTTAGCGGGTGTTGTCGCTTTACATCGACCTTTCTGTTGTTAATTAATGTTTGCCTAACACTTTCAGGGTACTGCGTAGTCCAAGAAACAAAAACAAAACAAAACCAAAGTCGGTTAGACTTTGGGTTTAGCTATGTTAGGATTTGCCGTGTCATTAGGCCTTTAGAGCACAATAAAATTCTCCCGTGCAACTCATTTCAAGGCGAATGATTACTTGGCTTTCAGGGATTGTTCGTATACTGTCTGTACCAATACGCTTGCCCTCCTAAGCTCATTCTCTAAGTTAATTTTACTTTCGTATGGGACGTCGACTGGGTTTTTCAAACTTTCAACGCTTTACTATGCTCTCAATTTACAATTTGTTGGGTGTAATTTGCTCGGGCGCGCAAATGTCATAATGGCCAAGCTTAAGTGTTTGATTATTATAAAGCGAACACAAGTTTTGTTGTCTATATGCGTTATCACGTCTCGGGGGTGACTGAGGAGATCTTAACGTTTGGGCATAAAGTCCTTTGACACGGCAGTGGCCGTGAAGAGAAGTAAAGCGTCAATGTGTTTCATGACTCGGTGATTGCCGATAGTCTGGTACCTGCAAAGGAGTTTGTATGCATTTCATTTAGGACAGATTATCTCAACTGTTTTAGGGTAAAATGACCATGGCGGTCAACATGGCATATGTGCCAAAATGTGAATCCGGTACGAAAGTCCTGAAAATGACCACACCCAGAAACGGCATAGTCGACATAGCTCTAAATCCGGAATTATCAAAGCTACAGTCTTTCTGAATTGTTTATATGGCTCAGAATGGTTGCTTTTAGGGGTGGTCACTGGAGAGTGAAATTAGCCTAAGTTTCATATTTTACAAGAAAATGAATGTTTACTATTCCAGGTCAACTGCTAATTATGCATAAAATTACAGTTTCACCTGGCAAAGTCTAATTTTCCCTATTTTCTAAAAATTTTTGCCATATGATGAAAAAACAAGCTTATTTCAATATATTTATTATAAATTTCCTAGGAAATAACAATGCTTTGTTGCGATACGACATATTTCATTTCACTTACCCCCCGCCATAACACGATTTCAGCCATATTTTGCAAATTTGATCGCCGTTTTTCGCCGTCCGTCGCAAGCACCATCCATGTTAGCATATTAGTCATGACGATGGATAAACTATAAGTCGGATTGATATCCCAAATCTTTATTATAACATCTTTTGTCTTTACAAGCAATGGCGTTTGGAACAAGAACAACAACATGTGGGAGATGATCACATGACAATTACGTCATGTTGTATTACGCAATATGTTTATGACTTAACACTCCCACTTAAACATAGAAAGTGATGTTAACTAAATACAACTATTCTTTTGTTTTCTACTATACTGTTATTACAAAACTATAATAACTAAGTACAACTATTTTTCTTTTCTTTTTCTACTTTCCAAACACAAGTGGGTCAAATGTTTTCATTCTAGAGCCGTTAACCGGCTTGGTTAATATGTCTGCTACATTGTCATTTGATGTTACATAAAATATATGCAGGAATTTACTCTGCACTTCAGGGGTCGGTTGTTCGAAAGATGAATAACTTATCCAACGGATAAGTCCTATCCGACGGATAAATCTGCTATTCAGTGGATAGTTATCCATTGGATAAAAACGCGTTGCACGAAGCGTGGATAGTGAAGTGGATAGCTATCTAATAGATAAGTTAAAATTTACCGGAAGAAAACAGGATTATCCTGAAATTTCGTACCACAACGTCAGCTGTTACTATGCATTTACAACATTGAATTCATAATCATTACGAATTCTTCGAACTTTGCACTTCACATCATAGTGATTTTGTTAATTAAACACATTGCAATTTTATTCCTTGACCTTGCAACGCTTTGCCTTTCGGTTCCATAGCAAATTTAGGAACACAATTTTAATGTTCGTAAATGAAATTACTTAGATATTAGCAAGTTTCCTTGGAATAGGTTGAATCTTTCTTTGCATATTCGCGTTTATAAACTGATTAGAAGCGTATAGTAAATTTACCGCCTGTTATAAATGCGAGGATGTCCAAAAAATCGCCGCTCGGAACGGAATGTGTTGGCAACGTGAAACGCTGCTGCGACAAATTGCACTTCGAAAACATCTTTAATAGTTAACATGCACCGAAGGACTTATAACCTTATTAACGAACGAAACTTGCGTTAAGATCATTGTTCCCTATTGGCTGGGACTGCCAAATTCGTTCGTTACCGTACAATGCCAGGCCCTCATTGGTTGAACGTTTAGTGTCAGGTGTGACATATTCATAATCGAAAATAAGTTTGCAGTTCTGTTTTGCATAAGTTCTTTCAACGCAAGTTGAATGCTTTATGCCTAAAATATATTCTAATCTTAAAACGCCTTTAATTATTATTATTATTATTATCAATTTATTTATCCACGGTACTATTTCACAATGGTTTAAGAAAGAAATATTTACAAGAGTGAAAAGTGATCTTCCAATAGGCCGTGCATTTACGTCTATAATTAAAAATAAGATTAAGTTATATACAAGTATTAAATAATAGAATATAGGAGGAAGTGAAAATTACAATTATCACACATATTACTAATTATTAAGTTGTTCATCACAATTATCACACTAAGACATATTACTAGTTAGCAAGTTACTTTTGAAACACTTTATAGATTCAGAGTTTTTTTGATTAGATGTTAAATTGTTCCAAGCCACTGCACCTCTGTATGAAAAGGATTTTTTACCAAAATTTGTATTTGGCTTAGGTGGTAGAAGATTATGCTCAGCCTGTCTAGTTTGATAGTCATGCACCGCGTTTGTTTTCGTAAAAAGGTCAATGAGATAGTCAGGAACTAAGCTATTTTTTACCTGATACATTGTAGTGCATAATTGGTTATTTCTTTTAACACTCAAATTTGGTATCTCAAGTTCATTAAGTATGTCTACAGACCTATAGTCATAACCACGCTTTGTAATGATACGGACTGCCCTGTTTTGTAAGCGTTGCAGTTTATTTTGCAACGTAATTCCAAGGCATCCCCATATTTGTGAGCAATAGTCAAAGTGTGGTTGGACCAAGGTTTTATAAGCTGTAACAAGAGTTTTCAAGTCTGAGAACTCTCGAAGTCGTCTCAGAACATAAAAACTCCTGTTCACTTTCTTCGTAATGAGTTCTACTTGAGAATGCCAAGTCAGGGTCTCATCGAGCATCAGACCCAGTGATTTGGTGGTGCTAACTCGCTTAATAGGCGTGTTTTCAATTTCAATCAGTAAATCGGAAGCACACTTTTTAATATTATGGCGAGAACCAATTATCATGTACTCAGTTTTGCTCTTATTCAAACTTAATTTGTTGGCTGACATCCAGTCTGAAATATTGGCCAGGTCAGTGTTTAAGCTTTCTGTAATTGATTTTATGTCTCTACCTGCAGTTCCTATTTGAGTATCATCAGCAAACATATCGCAGTCCACATTTTGTAGGCTATTAGGAAGATCATTAATATAAATAAGAAATAATAGAGGACCGAGTATTGAGCCCTGCGGAATGCCAGTAATAATTGTACGTGGCCCAGATAATTTACTATTAACCTGGCAGTACTGGATACGATTTGTTAGATACGACTTAAACCAATCATGGGCTTTACCTCTCACCCCATAAAGATATAATTTTTTAAGTAATATATTATGGTCAACGGTATCGAATGCCTTTTTTAAGTCCAGAAAAACAACTCCATTGATCAAGCCTTCATCCATATTTCGATACCACTGATTTGTCATTTTTAGTAATGCAGTGACAGTTGAGTGGAGAGGTCTGAAACCATGTTGTGAATTTGTTAAAAGATTTGATTGTTGTAGATATGAATAAAGTTGGTTAAATGCAAGTTTTTCCATTGCTTTGGCAATTATTGAAATGACAGATATAGGCCTATAATTATCCATATCAGATTTTAACACCGCTTTTGTAAATTGGGGTAATTCTGGCAACTTTCCATTCGCAAGGGAATATTCCAGTTGATATAGACCTGTTAAATATTGCAGTAAGTGATTTAGTAATGTACGGGGCTGCTAATTTGACAAGTTTTGTTGGAAGTTTATCTATTCCGGTTGCCTTATTAAGTGACATTGTTGTCAACAATTGAAAGACTTCTAATTCACTTATCTCACTAAAAGTAAATTCCTGTGTTGATTCTCTGATGTAGGTATCTGGGAGAATAGAAGTTGGTGGAATTTTTTGCGATAAGATTTTACCTAGATCTGTGAAATGATTATTAAAAGCGTCAGGAATATCATTTGTGTCAA